GTAGTTTTCTTTTCTTTCCTTTCTTTTTTACTTTTTATTTATTCTTTGTGTCTTTCACATTATGCCTCCCGATCCCAGCCCACTTCCCGACAAAATAAAGTAAAATAAAATTTAAGAGAAATAAAGAAGAAAAAAGGGGGAGAACAGGAAAAGTTCACCACGGAAGATGCACCGTAACACAGAGAGTCACGAAGTAAACCCCTTTATTCATCCATCTTTACATGCAGACACTCATTGAAGTGTCATTGGTGTGGTTTGAAGCCTCTGGTCTCTGCTACACCAGCAATGCTGAGGCAGTAGTCATTGGGACTCTTCCTGGACATTCTATTGCTGCCCTGTGTTATCCTCTGCCGTCCTGCGTCCTCAGGATACTCACCTCCGTGCTCCAGAAGATCACAGACGGGATGGATATTGGTGTGGACCAATATATAAGCCTGGTTCTGGGCCTGACTAGTTACAGGGTTGGTCAGCCAGTCAGCTATCCCCTGTATTCAAGGCCAGGGTGAGCTCTCCAGCATTGGCCTAGCTAGTTAACCCCTTGAAGTGATGAGCAAGAAGGGGGGCCAGTTCTCTGTCCTTCACATCCTCAGAGGTGTTTTTCCCACAGTTACACCTTCAGGGCCAGTTATACTGTGTTGCACGGACACGGTGTAGGGGCCACTTTTCTGAGCGCTGCAGCTAATGAGGGGCAGAGACAACACTCCCATTCTTATGACCTCAAGGCCAGTTTGGTTAAAATTTTTCCTCCCTAAATATCATCATTATTGATTTATTTCATGTAACCAAGAAGTCAATTATCAAGGTAATTAAAATATTTCAACCCACACATTTCTGTAGCTCAATCTGAAAACAATTATAAACTGCTTTGTTAATTTATTTTTTCCGGACAATGCCAATATTTAAGTTTTAATAAGGTTGATTTTTATAAATTGCTTCTAAATAAAGCTGGTTTGCTTTATTTACTGTGCATTATTTACTTGTTTTAGTAACAAATGCAATTTTCCAACATTAACGGATTACTATGCTTTTCCAATAAATTTTCTATTAATTGACTTTTTGTACATTAAGTGTATTTCCAGTGACATAATAGATGTTCAAGAAGTGATGTTTCAGTAATTATGTATCATTGAATAAGCCACTGGCCAGGTCTGAGTAGAATTTCATTGTGTAAACAGAACTTGTTTTCTAGTTAACTAGTTAATGTGGAGATAGATACTAAGCTATGTCAGTGAGAAGAACTCATTTGGTTCCCTGGGCATTGCAGGGATTCTATGTGGTTTGGGGGGTCACTCCACATTTCCTGATGTAATCTTATCTTTTCAAGCAATGGAGAAACATTCTGAAGTGAATGTGTTGCTCAGCAAAGGTGGCTCTCCTTTCAGTGAGGGAGCTTCTTTCTTGAGATGAACTCAGTAGGTGTTGTGGATAGAAAGAAACAAACCACCTCTTCTTGTGACACTCGCCTTAGGGCCTTGATTTTAATCAGTTTGCTTTGAAAATCATATCTACATCTGATCTGATGATCACACATGTGCTCCAAGTCACACAGCCAATCAGAGGGAGAAGTGGGTCTATGCTGCCAAAGGTAGGCTCATTCCCATTGCACAGTGCTATCTGTCTCACTTCAAGGTGGTCTCCAGGGTACTTAGTCAGACCATGCTGACTAATTACAGAATGTCTTTCATAGAGAAACTCTCCAAAGAGTTGTAATGAGTGATTTTTCTCATTGCCAAGTAACCTGTATGGAAAAAGGACTTCTTTCCCCACCCCCAATGTATAAATAACATAACCAAAGACACAGATAATGTCTTAGATCTAAACTTCTACTTTGAATAGAAACTTAATATCTTGAAAGATGGGGTGATTTCTATCAATTTGTACATCAAAATTTCAGCCTTATTTATTTTAACTTCCCAAACTGCCTCTGTGTGCGTAGGTTGGACAGGTCAAGGAAGAGCACCAAGGACATTTTACAGGAGCACTTTAGGAATCCATCTCTGCAGCCCTACTAGGTTCACTCAATCAACACCTGGCTTATTATCAATATCCTCAAGTGATATAGCCATTTTAAAGTTGGGCATCACTATCCTCGATCACCATCAAAATGCTCTTAAATAATCCCGGAAGCAGTAGAGTCAACAAAAACATTACAATCTCTCAAGGATCAAAAACTGTGTTTGGATACATGGATATTCCTCTATTTCTAATGGAAATGCATGTAACTCTTATTAAACATTTATAAAGTACAGTTTAGTTCCCAGTCTCAGTGACTCTGCTTTTTCTGCCACTGAGGTCACTTGATTCCCGTGTATATGACTTTCTTATGTTGCTGCTTTTCTTGGAGAAAGCTTCATCTAAGCAGGAAAATTGCTCAACAGTTGCTACACTCACTACTCTGTGGCTCAGCCTCAGGACATCCCTAGTGAGTCCTGAAATCATGTAGTCCCTCTTCTACACCTTCAGAAAAGCAACACTTGTTTCTTTGGCTGGACTGACATTTCCTTCTCCACTTTCTATCCTCCTTCTGGGAGCTGGTACCTATGTTGACTTATATAGTTGTACCCAGTCTTCTGAGTTTTCTACTGTTATTTTATATATAGACTGATAAGCTTTGTCCTGCTTAGTTAGTGTGGTACTTGAATTTGATATCCAATTATGAATGTGTAATGTCTGATTATTTTAGTAAATTATAGAGTTAATTTAGCTTTGACTTTGCCACCCTCAACACATTTTTTTCTAAGACCTAAAAAGGTGTAGTAATTTCTATCTGAGGGGGTGATCTAAAATTGCATTTCTATGTGTTTCTTGTTTCAGTGTTAGTCACCTATTTCTGAACCCAAAGAAATAGCAATTATGGATTAATTGGTAATATACTAGTTATAATGAACATGATTAAAATGTGCAGATTACCTATAAATTAGAAAACTTATGTGTTTAATATTCTTATAATTTTTATAGTCATCTTTTTATGGAGAAATTTGATTTTTCAAAGTGACTGAAATCAGAAAAATGTGATAGATATGAGCATTTTGACAGCTTATTCAAAATCAACAAAGAACACACTTATTAATATATCATTTAATATGGAAATTCTGGGATAAAGAAAATATGTAAAGCTTTAGAAAACCAACAGTGGAGATAATTTAAAACATATTATCCATAAAAGTAAAAGCTTGACATGAGGATTATTACTTGACTGTAAAAAAAAAATAAAACCACCCTTAAATCTGTGTTTCAAGGTCCTTCTCTGGGTCCCGGATTATTACTCTTTCCAGGAGATCTTGTTTTTGATGTATTGTTTCTATCCCAAACTATCTAGTAAAGACAGAGCCTCAGGTTTTTCTAGAGACCTGTTTTTGCACTGGACTCTCTTTTACTCCGTGCTTTTAGTGCCAGGCTGCCCGAGGTCTAACATGCTGGAACAAAGTTCGTTCATTTCTTCCTGTCGTGTTATAGTCAATCATTTTTATTGCAGCATTGCCTCCCAGACTTTAGAAAAACTTCTCTTTCTCTATCAAAAATAGTCTCATGCTTATTTTGGTTAGCACAAAACAATTTTGTTGCAATTCCCTTCTCTTTGGTTTCCAAGTACATACTTTTTGGTTTCCACAAGATTTTGTTTAAGAGTTTGAGACTGTTGGAATACCTCTGTTCCCTTCATGAGACTTTCTTTTACAAATGTACCTAATTTACATTCTAGCTCCCTTCATTCCCCCTCCTTCTGACCCTCCTATCTCTCTTTCTAACACAAAAACATGGAAACACAATAATTAGGGTAAACTTCTTCACCTTATCACTTTAAAATAAACTTATAGATAGTGTACGTATCATTTCATGGCATAGTCCTTGTAATCATGATCTCAAGCAGTTATAGCTGCTTGCACAAGATTGACCCTGTCATCAGCAAGCATAAACCAGGAATGGACTCACAGAACCATAGCCTGCCTTGATGATCTATTGGCTACTTACTGATGGTTTCTGGGAGACAGTTACTTTCAACCCTACCCACATATGAGTTCACCAGTCTCCAGAGCATTGTGCAAAACTCAAACATACAAACAGTCTTGGTTAAATATAAAGATATGAATGTAGAAAAGGGACTTTTAAAAGAAGAGGGAAGATTGTGAGGGAAAGAAGTATATATATGCACACATATGAACATATACATGTATGCGTATATATAAAACCTTATATTTAAACATATACATACATATGTGTATATATATGAAGGCTAGGTGCATTTTATGTAGTATAATTGTATAGCACCTATTCCATTCCATCCAGATGGGTTTATACAACTTCTTTTTGTTCAGCACATACACAAAATACATGAAAGCCACTTGTTAATCATTTAGCTATTTTGGTAACCAGTTTGACTACTTTTATGACAGTGCTTGTGCTCAATGGTTTTTTTTTGTTTTGTTTTGTTTTGTTTAATGGTGTTACCAAAGGGCATGTTCTCAATTCAGAAAAGACATCAGATAGTTCCTTTAAATGAAATTTTGACAGTGCAGCAAGGTAAGATGAAAGAGGAACAGAGGCTGCTTTCGTGTGATTTTATATAGTGTACTTTTGTATTTTCCTGTTAGTCTATGCATGTTTGTCATTAATCAATCTCTTATTGTTCTTAAATACTGTAGGCAGAGACTACTTGTTCATTTCCCAGCCTCCCAGGAAATAATCACACAGAAACTATGTTTAATTACAACACTGCTTAGCCAATAGCATAGGCTTCTTATCAACTAACTCTTACATGTTAAACTAATCTATTTCTATTAAACTAGGTATTGCCTCAAGACTTGTGGTTTACCGGTAAGAGTCTGTCTCTTTTGGCAGCTACATGGCATCTTTCTGACTCCATCTACTTTTTCTCTATATTTCTGTTTGAATTTCCCTCCTGGCTTTACTGTACTAATCCATTGTCCAAAACAGTTTCTTTAATAACCAGTGGTTGTAGTAAATAGGGCAGGCAGCTGGGGTGTTGGGGACGCAGCCCCGCCGCCGCCCTATGCTCAGTCGGTAGAGCATGAGACTTTTTATCTCAGGGTCATGGGTTCGAGCCCCACGTTGGGCGCCATATCTGTAGTAATATGGGCGGCGGGGGGCTGCGTTCCCAGCACCCCAGCCGCCTGCTCGGCTAGCTTATGCCCGAAATAACAACACACAAACTGTATTCATTTAAACACTGCTTGGCCCATTCTCTTCTAGGCTAATTCTCACATATTAATTTAGCCCATTTCTAATCATCTGTGTATGGCACCACAAGGTGCGCTTACCAGGAAGATTCTAGCCTATGTCCATCCTGGGTCGGAGCTTCATCCCGGGAGCGGGGCATGGCGTCTCTCTCAGGCATCTGCTCCCTAGAGGAGAGCTGTCGAGACTGAGCTCACTTCCTCTTCCTCCCAGCGTTCTGTTCTGTTTACTCCTCCCACCTATCCTCTAACCAATAAAATGGGCCAAGGCAGTTCCTTTATTAGCCAATGACCTTCCTCCATCAAGTGGTAATAAAACATATTCATAGCATACAGATGGAAGTCCCACGTCAGCATGCAAATTAAAATGTATCATAGTCACACACACATATAGGAAAAGAAATCACAGTCACTAGTTTGAATTATTCATGGTTTTACTCAGGATCTCAAGGCATAACTATTATAAATAAGAATGAATTATATGTTTGTGTTTATATATTTTGTTTGTATTTATGTATGGATTCATATATATACCCATATACACATACGCATATCATATATGTATATGTATATCATATATACACACATATATACCTACATATGAAAGTAGTACTAAGTATACCAATGAGTATAGTTTATAAATTAATTAATATTGTCCAACAAATTAGAAGAATAAGGAGAAATGTCTTCTACTATTCAATTCTTGCAAATCTATTTATATGGAAGTTTTAATCAGAGCTGATTTTTAAAATATTAAGATATTTATTTATGTGTATATTATATATGTATATATACGTTCATGAGTTTGGGTATGTCCACATAGAGGTCCTTTTCTTGTACCTAACTATATTATTCTCCAAGGTATGTTTTGAAACAGGATCTCTCACTGGCCCTGAAGATCATCCATTCATCATGACTAGCTGTATAGCATGCTCCCCATTGTCTTCCATTTCACATCTCTGTAGGGTTAGGATTGCAAGCCTATACCATGATGATCTCTTCTTTTTTAAATGGGTGGTAGGGAATAGACCTCAGGTCTTCCTGTTTGTGCACCATGCACTTTTAACAACTGTGCTATCTCTCTAGTCCCAGCATTTCTGTTACACCATGTTATTTCTGGCCACCAACTAGGTGAACTAAACCACAGTGCAACAATAAACAAGGCCACACGACTGCAGTAAAAAAAAATTAAAGACTTTTGTACTTTAATCTTAAATGCAATTACAGTTCTGTTATATATGGAATTCATTAATTGATATGTCTTTTTTGATCCTAAAAGAAATTGACATTGAAAATTATATGGAATTACTTGAAGACCTTTGTACAATGAATATGTTTTTTTGTAACTATATTATTTTGTAAGCTGCACCATCCATATATTTTCCTAAAGAGTTGCCCAATTTTATAATTTATGGCTATAGCTCTCATCAACATTTCCAGAAACCTACTTATAACAAGCCTGGTATAAATTAAGAGCTATGTTTAACACTGTAAGTTAAACAGTCTAGATTAGAAATGTAAATTTGGCTCCAATGGTCTTATATATCATTGGAAGACATTTTAAGATTTTTGTTGAAGGGGATTTTTTTTTGTGTGTGTGTATGTATCTGAAGTTCCAATAAAATTTGGAACAAACTCCTGTAGTGAAATTTTTCTTACTTGACCAATCACCTTGAAACATCTCCTTTTTCTTAATAGGAATGTAGGATAGTTGGAACTTATTTCCTGTTTGTCTTCACATTTCTCTTTCCTTCCTTCCCTCTCTTCCTCCCTTCCCTTCCCCCTCTTTCTCTCTCTCTCTCTCTCTCTCTCTCTCTCTCTCTCTCTTTCTTTTGCATTCGGACTGCATGTGTCTTCCTTCCTCTCCTCCAGTACCTCCTCCCACCTTCCCTCTGCCTGTTGCCTTCAATCTACTCCTCCTCTGTTCCTGTTCAGAAAGGTGAGGCCTCCTATGGGTATCAGTAATGCATGGAATATCAAGTTGCAGTAAGACTAAGAACCTTCTCTTGTATTTAGGCTTGGCAAATGCATTCATTTTTCAAAATTCATTAACTGATTAATTTTATGTGCATGAAAATTACTTAAGACATTGTGCAGAACACCGTCTTCATGAATGAATTTTTCTATGCCTGTTCAGTGTTATGTAGTTTTATATACTTGTGTTTATATCTGTAAGTTGTCTTTTATTTATGCTTTAATATGTGACTCAAAGTTCTTTAACTTCTTTTTTTTAACTTTCTTTTTGTTTTATTGAGAAAAAAACAATTTCCGCCTCCTCCCAGCCTCCCACTCCTGCCCCCCCCACTCCTCTTCCTGTCCCCCTACTCCTCTCCCTCTCCCCCCACTCCTCTCTCCCTCCCTCTCAAGTCTGAAGAGCAGTCAGGGTTCCTTGCCCTGTGGAAAGTCCAAAGTCCTCCCCCCCCCATCCTGGTCTAGGAAGGTGAACATCCAAACTGGCTAGGCTCTCACACAGCCAGAACATGAAGTAGGATCAAAAGCCAGTGCCATTGTCCTTGGCTTCTCAGCAGCCCTCATTGTCCGCCATATTAAGAGAGTCCGGTTTTATCCCCTGCTTTTTCAGTCACAGTCCAGCTGGCCTTGGTGAGCTCCCAATAGATCAGCCCCACTGTCTCCATGGGTGGGTGCACCCCTCTTGGTCCTGACTTCCTTGCTCATGTTCTCCCTCCTTCTGCTCCTCATTGGGACTTTGGGAGCTCAGTCCTGTACTCCAGTGTGGGTCTCTGTCTCTATCTCCATCCATTGCCAGATGAAGGTTCTATGGTGATATGCAAAATATTCATCAGTATGGCTATAGGATAGGATCATTTCAGGTTCCCTATCTTCTGCTGCCCCAGGAACTAACTGGGGACCTCGCCTTGGGCACCTGGAAGCCCCTCTAGGTCCAAGTCTCTTCCCAACCCTTAATTAAGATATGTGCTTCCCTGCTCCCCTATCCAACCTTCCTTTATCCCAATCATCCCATTGCCCCAAGTTCTCCCCATCCTACCCTTCTCACTTTTCTCTCCCCATCTCCCCTTACCCCCCTCCCCCCCACCCTTAAGATCCCGATTTTTGCCTGGCAATCTTGTCTACTTCCCCTACCCAAGAGGATCGCTATATGTTTTTCTTTGGGTTCACCTTCTTATTTAGCTTCTTTAGGATATCCAATTATAGACTCACTGACCTTTATTTAAGGCTAGAAACCAATTATGAGTGAGTATATCCCATGTTCATGTTTTTGGGTCTGGGTTAACTTCTTTTCTATTTGACATATAATTATTCTATCATTCCAATATAGTTTTAAGAAAGCATTAATTTTTATATTGAGTTGCTGTATTACTCACTTTTCTGTGGCTGTGATAAAACACTGTGACCAAAGTAACTTATAGAAGAAAGCTTCTTTGCGTTTTTGTTTCTAGAAGATTAGAGTTCGTAATGGTGATTACTTTACAGCAAGAAGATGTAAACACAGTTCCACCAACTTGTGACCAAGTGTTCAAATACATGAACTTATGGGGGTCCTTCCCATTCAAATCACTACATCCCACTTCCTGATCTCCATAGGGTCATGACCAATAAATGCAAAATGCATTTTATCCACCTTCAAAAGTCCTCTCAGGCTTTCACAGCTTTAAACTATTTAAAAATCCAAAGTGTGTTCTGAGACTCATGGCAGTGTCTTAATTGGAACCCACAGGAAAACGAAAAGGGAAATTACATATTTCCAGTGTATAATAACACAGAATACACATTGCCATCACAAAAGGAGGGGTGGGGCATAAATGCCAGATCAAAACTAGACTAAAACCCAGCAGACCAATCACCATATCTTGTAGCTCCATGTCCAGTGCCAAATGGCTTAGATGACTCTGCCCTTTCATATTTGTTACCGACAATACAACTTTTTCCTTTGGGCTGATTCTTTTCCAAGCACCTAGCTCTCTTTGGCAGATATACTAAAGATCTGACTTCTTACCATAAGGGTTCTCCCCTGGAAGCCAAGCTTTACTTCTGCCTCTTCATGAAATGGCTTCTCAGAGCCCCTTGCTCTCTCAGAGCCTCCCCTTGCCTGGCCTTAGTAGACCTCTGAAAGCATGGACAGATATATCATGGCTGCTTTACTCTTGTATCCATCATGACTCTAAAACCAGCAGCACTCAGCCAGTATGGGATAGACCCTAAGTTCCTAGAATGCTGTTGAAGCAGCCTTTCTCTTTGGTTGTTTTGTAGAAGATGTCCTCAGGATCTCTTTCACAGGTTGGAAGCTTAGTTGGGTGGGTCTTGACCTGTGAGGACTCTTTTCTTTATTGCAATGTAGAACATATGTCTCCTTAATGACGCTAACCTCCTTATGTCTTTCAGCACAAGCCTTGGCTGTGATCTTACATTAGCAGTGTTCTTTGTCTCCTTAAACTGCACATTCTGTGTTCTCTGTTCCACTTGCTCTATTTCATTGCATACCTAGGTAACAGTCACTATTAATAACCATGCCACACCTTCAATATTATGGTGCCCCGAAATTACTCCTGTCAAATAAATTAGTCAAGTATTTTGAAATTTAACCTCAGGAAAGTTCTTATCACCTTTTCAGAGAGTAACCACATTTTTTGCAGAAACACTATCAGAGAAGTCCCTTGCTCAGTTGCTGTTACTGTTCCTGATTCTTTCTGAAACCTCGCGAGGTGGGTCTTGATTGGTTTGCTCTCAGCACCAGCTTTCAGACTCTTGAAAGCACAGCCTGCTAGTAGAATTCAAACACTTTTTTTAAAACTCCAAAGTTTCAAAATTTCTCAGGTTTATTTTAAAAAAAAAAAAGTCAACATTGTCATATCTGTCAGAGAACTCCCCTTCCTGGAATCAAAGACTGTTCTAGTTAGGTTTCCCT